GGATCGGAGATCTGGGAAGCTAGGGTTTTGACTTCAATTGTTTTCGATTACTGCAATTCTTATAAAACTTGGTATATATGTGCACATATGGTTGCATTTCTTATAATATTTATATACATGAGCAAAATTCACACATATAATAAAGTAATATAATTATGCATCAAATCATGTAAAAAAGACGATAAATATTCACTACCGTACACAAACACAACCATATCTACTCCATTCTCATGGGTGGCAGTTGTAGACATGAAATAATATTATTTCAATATGCCATCACAAAGATAAAGACTCGTAGGTGATGAGTACATATATGCCAGTAATCTTTTTTCTTTTTTTTTCAATCTTTTTTTTTTTTTTTGGCAAGAAGTTCATCAATAACACCTAAATTAACCCCACAAGATACAACCCAAAGGCTAACTTTTGGTTGCACCCATGAAACTTAAGTATTACTCACGCACACACTCAACAAATGATGTGAGACATAGGAGAGGGAACAGGGGAGTCTCTACTAAGCACTAACTAGCACTCACTCACTCTTGTTTTTTTTTCAATCATGAATATCAATAATCCATAAAAATGAAAGATGGACTTTTAGAACTATGAAGTAGGACGGACTTGTTCCAAGGATCTTTCTCGCTGTTGAAGGTGCGATTGATTGAGTTGACATCAAGAAGAGAAAGAAGAAATACAGCGATCAGAGCCTTGCTATTGCTAGCCATTGTCTTTTTTATAGAGAGGGTCATAAGAACTTAATAATGTTTCTATTTTATTATCCTTTCTTGATTTTTTTTCATAAAAAAATTGGGTGGATACAATTTTGATTACCATAGTGGGTCAGAACATATTCTCGGGACCATAGGTTAGTTATAGGAATTCTTATAGATTGTTCATCAATGTAGTCCTCGCATCGGCAGTTGAATCCGAATATATGCCCTTTTGTAAAGTGATCTATTTTTATCAATTGAACCAACTTGTATTTGACTAATGATAGTTGCATGGAATGAATCATACTTTTATAGTCCGGACCGAGTTTCTCAACAATTACATTGACAATTTCTGTCTTAGGTTAGCAGTCCAAATGGGATGAGCTAACATGGTCCAATTAGAGGGGTCAACTTGAAACTTCATTTAAATTGAGTGGCTCGAATTGGGTCATGCTGACATCTAATATGGGACGTGAAGGGTATAGAGCCTTTCTAGTTCCAATTCTCTCCAATTGTGTAAACTAATAAAATTTTGATATAAATATAATTTATAATTGAATTGGTGCAAAACTCACGATTATACCAAAAATCTATTAGTGTACACCAAAATTGTGCCAGTTTATTCAATTAGACGGCATTCGATCGTACCTCAACTGGAAAAGCCCCGAATTCGAACGTAAACTACTCCCAGTAATTGCAATCGCTGATTGGACAAGAACCTTAAGACCCATAATCAGAATAATTCTATACGAAATTCATGCACAGAGAAATAAAGGCATCATCGAATTGGAGACTCGTGTCTTTTGTTAAGGAGGTTGAGGGAAGGACGAGGATATTAACGGATGAAAACGTAGGATAATTAGTATTTGTTTGCCTTGCCACTGCTTGTTGGGTAAGAACTGGTGTTTCTTTTGTTTGGAAGCTCTGGTATTGTAATTTTTTGATAACGTGAAGGTGGGTTTACACTCCCTGTCCTTCTTTTCTAACCCTGTCCTCCCTCTTACCCCTTTCGAGAACCCTAACTTTTTGAAAAGATTAGTGGTATGGTTTCCACACTAGTAAATTCTCAAAGAGTGTGAGTTTATAAAATTTCCCAAATGATGATGGTTCTTTAATTTGTCTAAATTTTGGAAATTTTCTCGTATCCACACTCCATATTTGACTTCGTGTATTCCAAGCATATGTCTTATCAATCGAGAGGACAAATATGATCATTCTTAATCCATCTTCCTTCTCCTATACAACATTTCAATCCACAAAGAGATTCGTGGACCATGGAACTCAATATCAGTCACAAAATAGCAAATTTCCAATTTGTGGACCATGGAACTCAATATCACAAATACAACCCTTCTTAATCCATATTCCTTATCAAAAGTTACGTTCATAAAATATGTACTTCTTTACTTTGTCTAAGTTTTGAAAATTTTCTTGTGTCCGCACTCCATATTTGACATTGTACATTCCAAGCATGCGTCTTATCAATGAAGAGGACAAATACGACTATTCTTAATCTATCTTCCTTCTCCTGACAACCTTTCAATCCACAAAGATATTCACTCATAGAATAGTGAATTTCTAATTTTATGGACTCGTGGAACTCAATATCAACTGTGCCAAAATCAATCCTAAAACTTTAGTCAAGTCTACCAAATGAAACTTGGATGGTGAGGGTTTTGGATCAACCAAAAGGTGGTGAGCTTTTGTTTGGAGAGTGGTTGCCAAAGGCCTATAGGGGAAAAACGATGTAGGCTTGGTTCTTTCATTATGGCAATGGTGTTAACAAAAATATGAACCAAGTGGATTGAAGGGCTTTGCATCAAATATGGAACATGAATATAATCTCCTTTTATAAAAATAGAAGTGTCTAAAGCAATACTCATAGCATTCTTCCAATTTTATCCTATAAAATTGAAATTCACATGATATGGAGACAATGAATAAGAGCGGGGGAAAAAGTAGATGAATACGTTTTGACCTTTGGAGATAAAAAATTTTTACAACATGTAAAACTAAGAAACATAAAATTTCAATGGGACAGAAAAAAGTACTTCAAATTAACATATATCTAGTGGGAGTTACTATTAATTACAATGAGAAAACTCTATTCATTTAAAAAGAAAAAAACACAGAGAGAGAAGAGAAATTTAAATTAACGTTTAGGTGAAAACAAATAAAAGAATAAGATAAGAGGCAATTTAGAGGCTTGATATGCATAATGTCACTGTGGTTAAGACAGCTCCAGTCAGGCTAAATAAAAAAAGGCTTGGTAAGCCTAATGTTTAATTGGGCTAAATAGAGATTAGACTTGAATATTAGGCCCAAATTAAAAACGAGTTGGGTTTTGACTTTGCTAGATTTAGGCTCAATTAATGCCCACTGGTGTATAAATATTATTATATACATAAAAATATATAATATAATTATATATTATAGCATCGAATATTAATAACTTATATATAAATTTATAGTAATTCATAATTATTAAATATATATTATGTATAGATATGTATTTAATTATGAGCTCGAATTGAACCCAAAACTCATCTAGAATTGTGAACTGAGTTTGAGCCTTTTAATTGGACTTGAGCTTGAAAGTCCGAAAATCTAAAAGCTCTCTTAGTTCATAAGTCAAGTTTGAACTTGTAAAGATCCAATTCAGAGGTCTCGATGAACAGTTCTACATATACATACATACATATATATATATACACACACATACACATTAAGGCTTTTCCAGCTTGTCACTTATGGTGGTGGCGGCGGCGCCCGCCCGGCAAAAGGGGGGGGGGGGGTTTAAGGCGATCTCTCCCTTTACTCCCTGTTCCCCCATGTTTAACTTGCAACCCCATTGCCATTCCGATGGAGAGTAGTGCTCGCTAACAAGTCTGGGCGATCAAGTACCTTCTTCAATGGGGTATGATGCTGGGCTTGTTGCTTTGCTAGTGTTTATGTAAGGAAGAAAATAATGAAAAAATAGAAGGCAAAGTTAAGTAAAAACAACTAAAAAATAGAAAAGAGTTTTGCTATTTATGAAGGGATAGTACGGTATTTTCAAATCTTTGTGTAAATGTAGACAAATCTCGTCTATTTTCCACTACAGTTTAAAGCACTAGGGTTTCTCTAAATATTTTTAAGTGACGAGGGAGAATTCTGAATTTCTAAACCACAAAGGATTTTAACAAAATGAAAGAGGAGAAAAAATTACTTAAACGAAAGAAGGTCTACATTTTTACCCCCTTTCCAGCCATAGGAAATGAAGTAGACGCAAATGAAATTTTTGCAAACTGAAGAAAGAGTTTAATACATAATTGAGGGAGGGAAAGATCGAGTGATTTTGATGGTACTGTAAATAAGAGATCACTGGAATCCTTCCATTTACACCATAAAAAATAAAGCTTAATACGTAACCAGTTGATCCTAGTTAGTGGAGTACTTAGGCGCCCAATACAGTAATACCACAACAGCATGAATGATTATGACTAGTTCACCATGGATGGCAATGTATGTAATTCCTCTTCTGTTTTTCTATGACCATTAAATGCTCAAAACTCACAAGTTATAAAACGTATATAGTTCTTCTTCTTATACAACAAATTAAGAAGCAATGAATATGGAAGTTGTTTGTAGAAAAAAGTTGTACAAATTTCTCAAAGTAAAAATTCTTCCTCAAAAACTATGGGGCTGCAATAAAAAAAAATACAAAAAAGCAAGACAGCTGCAAAATTATAACACTCAAGCGACCTTCATATTTTGGGCGATATCCATATTTAGACATGGGCAAAAATTATAATCTACATGGCAGTTAAATTATTTACCCTTTTCCCGTGTTGAACATAATTTCTTGATACGAGTTGACATTCAGCAATTCACATCGTTTCTTCAATCTATTATTATAAAAGGAATATTATAAATTTTGCACATGAGTATTACTAAAATTGTGTTTAGAGGCCAAGAAATTAGAGAATTCGGGTTCAAATCTTTTTGTTCCCTTCTTTATTTCTTAAATCCCATCTCCTCTCTTTTAGAAAATTTTAAAAAAAAAATTGCAAGATGGATATTTGCGCGAGGGCGGAGGAAGGATACGAAGAAAAGTTGTAGGAATTAATTAATATTTATTTGGCAAAATCCCCTATTGGGTGTCCAACTCCCCTGCTAATTAACCAGATATCCTTAAAAGTGCTAAAACACTATTAAGTACCCAAAGACAATGTAATGCAAGTTGAGTTATATCTTAACCATTGGGCTAAAGCCCAACTTCAGATAACAAAATAAACATAATTGGCTCATAGTTCAGCCCAACAAAATTTATTCCCTCTCAGGTCTGGCGTCTTCTTTTTTCCCACTGAAATCAAGAAACTCACTGCAGCTGCAGAGTGTCCTCTCTGCAATGGAGCAACAGCCGTCCAATTCTTCAAAAATGGAAACGTTTCGCCTTTTTGATGGCAATCCCCAACCTGGGTTTGGCTTAAATTTTCTTGAATCTCCGGAAAAACCCTTTTCCCCTCTACCTCCTTGCGTTGAAGTCCTCCCCTCTCAGGTACTTTTTATTTCTTGATTCTTTTTGGTCTAAAGAAACTGATGTTTATTTCCTTATTGAGAGCTTGTATATGAGTCCTTATACCTCTATAGTCTATTTATCAATTTATTTTTGTGGGATGTTTTCATCTGGAGTAGGTATCATCAAATGTGAAGTATACGGTGGAAAGTGTAGATATTGATGGGATTACACTGATTAAGGTAATACTATCGTTTTTGGAACTTTACATAGTACTAAAAGTGTGAAATTTTGGATGAGTGTTGAGTGTGCATGTGTGTATCTGATTGGCGTCTGTGTGTGTTGTACTATAAGCGAAATGAAGCATTGGTTCAAATATGTTGAATGTTGATTGTTGCTTATCAGTAGGAATGTGAATGGCTTTAATTTTGCGTCCATTACTTGCAGGGAAGGGTGAACACTAAGGAGGTTTACGCCTTTTCTAATTTGGATTTAGTGCCAGGGAAATATGAAGGTTTGCTGCATCTTTTTCTTTTCTTCTTTTTTTTAGGGGTTGTTATGGTTTTCTGGTTTTACTGTCATACTAGCAAGAGCCTGCCATTGTAACAGACTCTCACATACACGGTTTGCAATTTTCTGTTTCTTGGCTCCTTTTTTTCTTCCTAGAGTCTTGTTACTGATTAGTGTAATTTATTCTGTAGGAGGGTTGAAATTATGGGAAGGTTCGGTGGATTTAGTGAAAACTCTTCAATCAGAGATGCAAGATGGGAAGTTGTCACTTGCTGGAAAGCGAGTTTTAGAGGTGGGCTTCAATTGCTGAGGTGATCGTACAATCTTCTGCTGCCATGTTTATCTATGACTTTTCAAAAACCTTGTTGCTGTTTGCCAATTTTTTACTGATTTTTGTGCTCAAATGTAAAACAGAGATGCTCTTTGGGTGGTATCAAAGTATTCTTGTGGTTGATATTTAATAATGCTTTACATTTTTCTGTTCTTCTCTCTCTCTCTGAATTTTTTTTATTACATTTCTCTGTTAAATTGATGTAATTTTTTGGTGCTGGTATGTGTAACTATCAACTGAGACTAACAGCGATTATCTTTGATTTTATGTCTTTAGAGTGAGTCATTGAGTTTTCTGCATGACGATTTATTGTAATTTCTCTAGAACACTTTATGGTAATCTTGTTGCAACTACTGGTCAAAATATCAAACTTTCTTGAACCCAGCAGAGCAGGAGGTTTTCTAGATGTGATCCTTCTTAGAATATTCACTCATATAGGAACTAGTAACCCCTAAACTGTTGGTATTTTCTTGATTTTTCCCAATTTTACTTATTTTAATTTTTCCTGCAGATTGATTTGATTTTAGGCTCAAAATACATATCTGCTTTTCGAATTTCTTTCACGGTGAATGCTCAAACCAATTTCTTAAACTGTTGGGCTTCTCCTTGGCAAGGGATCCGGACTGAGGAAGATATTCTTGTGCTGTTGATGCATCTATGCTTTCATATAAAATATTAACTTTTGGAGAGAAATATAATTGTCTTATTGGTTAAAAAAAACATTGTCTCAAAGAAGTCGTTCTCATGGTCTTGCTCTGCTTCAAGTTAATTCTTAACATAATTCAGCTAGAAACTGGAACAATTTTTGTGCCTATGCTTGTCAAACCAATTTGTAAATGATTGTAACTGGATGTAAATATCATGGTTTGATTGGCGGTAACCATGTATTTGTTTATCTGCTAACTCTCCTCTAATAGCTTTTCAGCTTGGATGTGGCCATGGGCTTCCTGGAATTTTTGCATGCCTTATGGTAAACCTACATTTCATCACTCCTAGATAGTTTTTGCCAAAATGCTCTATGTGCTGCATATTAAATGAATCTAAATGTTGTCCTGTTTTAGGGATCTAGCTCTGTTCACTTCCAGGATTTTAATGCTGAGGTCCTGCAAAGTCTCACCATTCCTAATGTAAATGCTAACATTCAACAGAAGCCAAAGTCCATAGGTACAGATATGACAGAATGTAACACTAAGACAGAAACTCGTTTCTTTGCGGGTGACTGGAGTGAAGTCCAAAATATTCTTCCTTATGTACGTGGTGATGACTGTGGAATCAACTCTGATCAAGAAGTGGGTAATGGAGGTGGTTATGATGTTATTCTCATGGCAGAGACAGTTTATGCAATCTACGCTCTTCCTACGCTCTATCAACTTCTTAAGAAGGTTCTTAAGTGTATTCTTTAGATACTTGAATTCAGATCTCTAGATTTTCTGTTGTTGACCTCCTTTTTTCTTTTTGTCTTGTCAGTGCCTAACTAGTCCTCATGGAGTTGTGTACATGGCAGCAAAGAAGCATTATTTTGGAGTTGGAGGAGGATCAAGGAGGTTTCTCTCTATTGTCGAGAAAGATGGTGAGCTACACTTTCTTTTGTTACCTTCTGCTGAACTCTATAAAGGTTTAGTTATTTGATTTCCCAGATGGCGAACAAAGCATCCTGATGTTCCCCAATTTTTGTTTTAGGTCCAGGTGTTATCTTTTATATGGCTATTGATATGTCAATTTTTATAGATCCTTGATTTAGAAATTCTTGCATTAAGTTAAGGTGATGATGCCTGAGCCCATACATGATTCAAGCACTAAGTTGGATTGTTTAGGTTGATGTCTATGCAAGGGAATTTCTTTTCCTGTTCCTAGTATGAACATCTTGGTGCAGGGAGGGGATAGCAATTTATACATTCATCAGTACCTTATCTTGTGTTTCCTCTTTTGCAGTTTTCTTTGTGTAAAAGATAAGTACCTTGATGCATGGATTATACAAATGGATCTAGACGGTATCTTGTATGCCATGTACCACTTTCACTCTCATGAAATAGCTGGCCTTTGTGCAATTATTATTTTTTCAGATTGATAATTTCTAAAATGTAAAATATCTGAAAACTGAGAAAGGGGGTCAGGGAGGAAGAAGAAATATCCTTGTTGGATCCAAAAGAATTGTTTAAAGAGAGAGTGGCATCACCAAAGAAGGGAAACATAATGTTTGTATTGTGCTTAATGTGCCAAGGATCTTAAGGCTATTGCACCAGTACATTCAGAAAGTGAGCTTTTAGGTTTCCTTATTAACCTTGAACTCCTTGTCCTAGGTGTTTTGGCATCGACAATGGTTGCTGAGATTGCAGACGGGTCCTCTAATCTTCGAGAAGTGTGGAAATTTCATTTTAGGTGAATTACTGGTTATACGTGAAGGAAGCTAATGATTTTGTTGTCTAATTGTTTACAGCAACTAGAAAGTTTGATATTAAAGCTAAAGTGTCTGCTCAAATGATTGCAAGATGTCTTTTATCATCAGAACCTTAACTCTTCATCTGTGAAGTGCTCTTTGTGGGCATCTTTTACGTCAAAATTCACATTTCTATTTGAGAGAATTCTAATTGAGGCTCAAATGCATTTCATTTTGATCTTGCCGGTCTACTTATGTAGCTTTTGATGTTTTGCACTTTGTCTCTGTTCTTTCTCCATGAGTACTGGATTTTGTACTTCCTGCAAAGCAGAGAAGATTTGTTTGACCTTCTAGGCTATTCATGTAGCAACCTTTATGATCATTATTAGGAAGCAAAGCAAATTTTTGGGAAAAAGATGTCGAATTTCAATCTTACTCCCTGGAAAGAGAAAAATGAGCAAAATCTATGGAAGAGAAATGAAAGCCATAAAATAGTTGAGAAGAAAACAGGTATGGAACAGCAAGCAAAGAGTACTTCCTCTATCCAATTGCGTTACCCTCCGAAATCTTGTTCTTCCTCCTCTACATTTAAACTTTAGGATGGCGAGAATAACTATTCTCATGTAGATTTGATTAGACTATGTCTCGAGTAAGATGTTAAAAGTGACTGCATATATGACCAGCTAAGATGTAGGTGGTACTTGGAGAAACAATAGGAAACTTTGATTTGCTCCTGTTTCTGGGAAAAAATACATGGAATGTTTTAGGAGTTCTTGGCGATCAATATTTTGTACAAAGAGTTGCACAAAGCCCCATTTGTACATAGCAAAAGCAGAATATGATAATCTTTTATCTCCAGAATCATGTGTCTACTGTACTCTAGGCATTTTGGCGGCACTTATAATATGCAGAACAACCTCGATTATAACGGTTAGATTGAGGAGGGAGACATCCTTCACTTGAAGAATATGGTTCACCCCTACCACCACCATTGCAGGCTGGCTCATCCCTCCTCAAAGCCCCATTAGAGATATACCTCTTTTCTGCAAGAAACCTTCTGCTTATCTCCGAATCCATCAGGGTTTCAAAGTCTTGACTACACTCTGCTATTGAGTCATTACATGTTGAGCGTGCATCATTGACACTGGAAACAGCAATGATGAAAAACAGGAGGGCTAGGAGTAAAAAGAAGAGACTGGAAAGAAGCTTTCTTGAAACTGATTTCATTTCCCCTGTGGATATAATCTTTGTTTTTCATCATCAAGCACTATATAGTGTGCTCTACTTTACTAGTGATAGTGGATTGCACACTACTGGCAGAGGGACCGCACTTCACCTAACTCAGTATGGTTGCCATTTTTGTTATTATCTTTGTTTCAAATATTGGAGATGCAGAATTAACAAAACATTTATACAGGGACTAAGAACATTTTTGCCATCAATACAGGTTTGATGGTTTTTGTTTAGAAGTATCTTGCTAATATGTAAACGAAATGAATTTGGTTCTTAGAATTAACAAATTACTTCAGGTTTGCTCTTTGAGCTGGTAAATCATGGATACCATTTTCAAAGTAGGAGAACATTATACAAAGAAGTAAATTTTACAAGTACAAACTGAGAGAATAGGGACAAAGAAAAAGTTATTTTGCTCAGAGGAAACTAACAGAGGACGCGTTAGGCACTTATACCAGTAGTTGTTAAAACTCTCAATCCTCTTCTTAAGGATGTTACGAATCCAGGTGCCGATTTATAAATTTGATTCCGATTCCAATAGGATCAATAGTATATATGGAATTATAACTAGATAATTTTGTAGTGTAACTCCATATTATGCAGATTAAGGGTGCATTTGATAAAACTGAAATCTAAAATTTGAAATTAATTATTATTAAATTATTAAGTATTAAAATCCTAACATTTGAGTATATTTATAGGTTTATCAAGTTTTGCCTCGGAAATTAGTATCACTTAACTAATTAAGATGTTCTATTTTTTTTGTTGTCAAATACGTCTGAATATGATAAAATATGAAATCATTAAATTTAAGTACTGAATAGAGTTATCTAACAGGTCTAAGAAAATGTTTTGATAATTGGGAGTTTGGAGTCTTCAATTCATGAATTTATATCAATAGTATTTTTTTTAATAAGTTTTCAGTCAAAAGTAGAATTAATTCTGACATGACTTCAACTTTATTGTTATCAACATAATGCTACAAAGTATGAATTTCAGTTGAAGAAATATAATTTTTGGCTAACATTGCGTTTTATTTTTTTTACATTTATTTGTACATGTATCCATGAATTATAAGGTTATAAACAAATAAAATATTGTACTTTTGCACTTTTGGCAGGACTTTAGGATTTGAGAATTTTACCTATGATCCGTTCTCGTTGTTTCCAAAACAATCGACTGGGGATCTACTTTAAAAGTTTAAAAACCTTGGCCTGCATACGCAAGCCCTGTATTTGATTCAGACTAGGACTGGCCAATATCCAGTAGCCACCATGTTTTACTCGCCGTTCGCCCTTGACTATGCTATCTAAAGTTCATTGTTTTTCTTTTTCTTTTTTTCTTTTTTATTTTTCTAATATGATTTTGGATGACCAGAGTTCCTGTAACAAATATATTTGTGAAAGCAGAAGAAAGTGCAAGTGGGAGCCTTGATTCGAGTTCTCGAAAGGGCAAAATGCCAAATAGCTCTCAAATCATTATAAAATTTAACTTTTGGCCCTCGAATTATTAAATGAATTGTTTTAGCTCTCTAACTAATTCAAACGAATATTGATAATCCTTCCATCAACTTGAGTTGTTATATCTAATAGAATAATAGAGGTAGTTCTTAATACTTATGACTTTTTTCCTGTTGGACATAACAATTTAAATTGACGAGAGGATTATAAGTATACGTTTTAATTAATTGGAGGGTTCAAATTATATATTTAATAGTTGAAGGATCAAAAATTAAAATTTATAACAGTTTTGAGGGCCACTAGAGCATTTTGCCCTTTTTAAAAATATAAGGAGACGCTGTATATATCTCACGGGATATAAATGTACGAAGCTCACTTGCTCTAGCAATTGGGATTGATTGTGGTCCTGTTATTGCAGTAATATTGATCAATTTGAGGGGCGTTTGGTTAGGGATAGGACCGGTTATGTTATAATTTTTTACAATTTCAGTGGCAATTGCTGTAGGCTTTCTTTAGTCTTTCGTGTGTGTGTTTTATGCTGCCAACAACTAATGTTCAGTGGACTGGTTATGCTGTAATTTTGGATAAATTTGGGGGGTTTATTGAATCTGGATGCAGTTAGTGGGTGCTGAGTCGTTGCTTTTTTACTGTTTGCATGTTGGTGGATTGAATTACAGCCGTTGATTGTGTGTTGAGTCTCCATCTCCGCTTTCGCTTCCGCTCTCGCTCCCGCTCCCGCTCCCGCTTCCGCTTGAACTCTGCCATTACCTTCCCGAAACTTCACTCTCCATGTACCTGCAACCCTCCTCCTTACTTGGCCTGCTACTGCCGGCATTCCGATTAACTTCAATCCCACCTCCCAGTTCTCCACAAAGCATTCAAATCAGAAACCATCATTTTCTTCTTGCATTCCTATGTAAGTTTTTGCTTGATTTATTGACAAAATGTTAAGTAAATTAATAATCTCATAATGTGAATGTTGTCAATCTTTACGTGAATTTATTGAGACAACTTGCTTATCAAATTAGCTAGGCGAAAGAATATTTGTGCCAACTACAACTTATGGAGATCTACGCGGACATTCGACATCTACGGGCGAGAAGAATGTAAGATTCTTGATTTTTGCTTCACCTCCGGCGGTGAGTTTTGTTTATTTGCATGTCTGAGTTTACAGGTATGATTGATCACATTCACACTACACAAATCTGTGTTTATAGTAAAGCTCGAATAGAGAAATTGCTTGATGTTTTTTATTGGTTTAATGTAATTCAATCAGTGCATGCTTCGTTTGTGGTCCGAATCAGCAGTGGGTCTCCCTCTAAATATTTCTTTTTACTTGTTGGTAGCAGACTTGACTACCCATGTCAATTTGTTAAGTATTTTCTTTATTTACTACTTTTAGCATCTGGGTTCTTTGAATATGATCTGCCCATCTGGAAAGAATATAGACTGGAAATTGTAATCTTGTAATTCAATAGTTCTTGAATGCCTTAAATATGGATCAGATAGACAGATTTGAAATATCCGTTTAGAGATTGATTTCATCTCAATTCTGAGTGAAATTAGCAGCTTGTACATTGTGTAGAAATACAACTAATAGTGGATCTTTTATCTGCTTTAGATCGTTTAGCACATAGAAAAGTTCAGTTTGAATTCATGTAAGTGATTTTGAAGAGACACCTTATTCTTTTTCTGTTTGCGAAAAGACTGAGTTATTCACCACTTCTGACGTATCAGTGGGCATTTTGTTTTTAACAAAATTTTTAATGTATGGTCTCTTTTCTAACATTCTACTTAAAATATCATTTACGAAGTTCCAGTTGAGTTAAAGCTTGAAGTTAATGTAATACATGTTATCGGGCTATTCAGATAGAAATTTGGCCACCTAGTAGGAGACAACATTTTGTTAAGAATTACATCCAAGCATCTTTTATGCCACATGAAGCTTGCTCTATATAAGAGGGAATTGTGGATGTAATAGGTGGCACAAAAAATATTAATGCTGACATTGAAAAGTTGATAATTTAACTGAGATAACTACAGAATCGCTTGAACTTTTATCCTTTTTTTTTTCCTCCTGTTTTCCTTTGGTAGTTGGGTCACTGTTTTTGGATATATGTTGATTGAACTATAATTGCATTTAGGTGCAAGAGAAGCAGTTGGACTTATTTCTCTGAACCAGAAGGTGAGCTTTGTATGCATTTTCTATTTCTTTACTTTTGTATATCCAAATCTCCAACTGTTTTGGCTAATCTTTACTTTTGGGTAATTGATTGTTTGTTGATATATGGCTGTATGATGGACATTCTCTTCAAATCTGATTTATATAGCAGAGAAAATATGCAAGCCTAGAAGAGGATCAGGTGGAGAGGAATAGAAAAAGGGTGCGAGCAGCGAGCTGCTTCAAATGCAAAAATCACGATACAGGGACAATTCCAAGTTATATTATGTACTATGGCCGTGACTGCATTTAGCGTACGCTAGCCAATGAGCAAAGTTCAGTTCTTGTCTATCATCATGGTAGCTCTTCAGTTGTTTCTACAAGTCCTGTCGTCGATCACCCTACCCGTTAACCTATTGATAACTTGGGGAATCAAAGCATGGTATGTTTAAACTTGGCAATTTCTGTTTCTTTATGTTAACATGTAAGAGACCTAATTCAATTGTTTATGCTTTATTTGAGTAAATTGTGTTAAGTCTTAGTCAAACATATAATGGAATTTAGATATTTTGGATTCAATGACAGATGTATCACCATTGTTGATGAATATTTGCTCCATTTGTACATGAATTTCCATATTAGAAAATTATGTGTATTGCATTATATATATAGAAACCTAAAATTATGTATGTTAAGCTTAAGCCTGGGCATTGCCGCTCCAATGTGTGGCAGCCAAAAACTAGTAGTATTACTTGAAAGACCTTGACACCAAAATCCCAAAGGTTAGTGATCAATAAATGAAAGTGTAGATTTACAGGTAAAAATGTACAATTACGACTCCAAAGTGTACTGATAGGTTGCAATTTTACCATTTATTTTATTATTAATTTCCCCTATTATCTGACATAATGTGGATTAATTGCTAGATTCTATTCACTTTTGATATTTTGCATTTATTTCAGGGAGTAGAATGAAAATATGATAATAAGTGCCAATTTAACAAGAAAAGAGCCCAAATAACAGAGCTTATCCCAGGGGCATTATTGGCAAAGGAACACTTGAGCCCATTTTCGTAATTACCGCAAAGGCTAGGACGGCTGGAGGGCTTCTTCTTGCTGGTAGGAGCCGCCGCACAGGGATCTTAGTTAGTATTTAGATAGAATAAGAATTGCAGAGGAGGACTATCTCGGGAGAGTTTTTGCTCTCTGACTTTTCTTTTGTTAGTTTAGGAATAGCTTCTCTTACGCATGGCAGAGGAGCACTAGCTTAGCTTTTTGAATTGTTGACTTTTCCTTAGTTTCTTGCAAGTGGAGTTCTCCTGCGGATGGCAGGAGCAATTAGGAAGACATTATTGTATCACACTCTGCAACTTTGCTTTGCTTTATAACTTTGACCGAATTGAATTTGTGCATTTCCCAATTGATGGCTGCGGCTTCCTCTTCAATTTTGCGTGGGATTTGTTCACCAAAAATGAACTAATTCCCTTTGTCTAGTCAAGGGACAACGGATGCTTTGGGTCACCTAAAAATTGTGAGATCGATTTAATTTTATCTTTTTCTCTATTTATTAGTATTCACATATTCCTTGGTTGCAGTGCTTATGATTGTTCAATTAATTGATTGTCTTGGATTCGGATAATTAGTTAATTTGATAATCTATTGTCAATTAGGACGTTGAATCCGTAATTGTTTAATGGTTTCAAAATAGTGATAACTGACATGATTGGGTTCGTGTCAGGGGGATATGCGGGCTAATCTAAAATAACCCTAGTAGTGCGTTATTTGGTTAGAATAGGGCTCCTCTAATACGTAAGGCAATTGGGGAATTAAATTCTATGGGCGTACCTAGGATTGTTTTTCAATTAGAGCAGTGATTAACGGGCGTACCTTGATCATCGATACAGTAAGGAGGGGTTGACTGTCATCGCTTGTTTGGCAGTTATAACCTATTTATTAGTAAATAATTGGAATTGCCTTTGTTTCAATGATCAATTAGGTGAACCATTGCTGAAGTTATTCCTTGGCTAGATCCTTTGATTTTAGTAAATTGTTATTTAATTTCTAGTTGGCTATTTTATTTTTATTATTTTACTTTTAGTTGAATTGCTTAACTTGTCATCCCTGAGATAAAAACACCCCCCTTTTCACTGTGAATTTGAAAAGAAACAATTACTCCCAGTCCCTGTGGATTCGACCCTGCTTTCCACTATTTACAGAAATTAGCTTTAGTTGAGCAGATTTTTATTATTGCACAGGCTGACACCCTGTCAATTTTTGGCGCCGTTGCCGGGGACTGGTGCCAGATTAATTTGTTTCTTTTTGAGTTCATCTTGTTTTTATTTTTTTTATTGATTTTTCTCTTATTTTTTTTATATAGTTTATGGCTTTTAACACTCCGTATTTTGGTGATAGACTGGATTTTGTTTCCAGGGAAGGCAATGAGGCTTGTTTTTTTCCTGAGTTTGCATATGCAGAGGCACTAAACTCTATTAGAGAAAGAATGGCTACTGCAACCTGTAAAATTTGTTATGCCAGAGATCATTCAACCGGTATGTGCCCCGAATATCAAGATAATCTGAGTGTCCCATTCAATAATTATGGAGATTTTTCACCCTGGTCTCAAACGTGGTATAACCCTAATCCAAACGAGTATGATCATGGATGGTGGGATAACTCCAATTATAATTATACAACGGGGCCAATGAATTTTCAGCAGTATGAGTCTCAAGAATCGTCATCTATGTCAGGTATGTCTCTTGAAAAAATAGTTGAATCAATAGCTACTAATACATACCAATTCCAACAGGAGACACAAATGAGGAATGAGATGATGAAGGATGCAATGAGTAATCTGGCAGATCAACTATGTCTATTGACATCCAGAATAAATCGATTGGCTTCTCAAATGGAAGAATTGCCCTCGAAAATCATTGTTGATCTGGAAGAAAATGAGAGTGCAATTTGCTTGACTAGTGATGAGGAGATGCAAGAGTGTCAAAATGAGAAATCTACAGATGCAGTTGAAAAAGAATCCGAAAAGGAAGAAATGGAACCCCAACCGCAACCCATTCAAGTGAAAGAATCCAGTGAAGAATCATCAAATGTGGTGACACCACCTCCATTCCCTAACCCGCATTTTCTTAACTCTTACTCCATGATTTCTGTTAATGAGATTGATTTTGTTATACCGGAAGTTTTTGAGTCTCATGGCAGAAATAAGTTAAGAGTAGCTATGGTCAAATATCTTGAATCGTTGAGTGCTCTTGATGGAGGAGTGGATGAAGAATTGAGATCACTGCTTGATTATTTGGCGCCATCAACTAGTCCATGGAAGACCGTAGCTCGTGTGTTCAAAGATTACTCCATCTATGAGGGTTACCAGGATCACATTGAAAATGAAGCATTGAAGCGAGCCATAAGATTTTATCCTCCATGAGCAAAACATGATAATATCTAGCCAAAAACATTAAAGAAAGGCGCTCATTGGGAGGCAACCCAATTGTTTCTTTTAATTGTTTATTTTGATTTCGTGTGATAGTTTAAATATGTTTTTCTTGAATTTGACTGATTTCGGGTTTCAATTTTCATTTTTGATGATTTGTAGGTGTCTTTTTGTCATGACGCGCCAGCGTCATGACGTCTGGAGAGCTCACGGTCAGAATCGTCAGCAGGGGTTCCTGCCCTCATGACGTGCCCGCGTCATGTCATATGGAGAGCTCCAGATTCCGTACCTTCATGACGTGCCCACGTCACATTCGCGGAAAAGGTAAGTATTCAAAAAAAACTCAAGAACGGTTATTGATTTTCGGTTAATCTCTAATTTTGAATTTCGAAAATAATATTTGCAAAAAAAAAAAAAAATTATTAAAAAAAAACAAAAAAAAAAATTTTCAACCGTAGCTAGGTTTCTCAATTTCAAAAGAAAAAAAAACATTTTGTTTTTCTCTTTTTTCTTTCTTTTCTTCCTTTTTCTTTCTTTCTTTCTTCTTCTTTCTCTTTTCTTTCTTTCCTCTCCCCTGTTTCTTCTTCCTTTCTGTCGGCCAAGCACACCTCATGCCCGCTGCCATCTCCTTCACCCGCGACCAACGCCCAGCCCGTCTCCACCTCTGCCGCAGCTCACCTTCACGCACGACGAACAACGCCGCAACAGGCCGCCGTCGATCTCTCTAATTGCGCGCCGCCAGCAAAGCCACCGTCGCTGCCTGCGATCTCGCCGTCGCCAGGTGCACGGCTGCAGTGCCTCGCGCCCAAGCAGAGGGGCGCCGCCGTCCCTCACAGCCAAGCAACCGCAAGCCGCGCGCTACCACCTCTCTCTCTGCCCGCTGCCCACAGTCGCGCGACTCCAGCTCCAACATCGCCTTACGCCAGAGCTCCACCCGGCTGACTTTCTCTTCTCTCTCCTCGCGCCTCCACCAGCGATGACCAGTCTAACACAGCAGCCTCTTCTCATGCGCACCACCCTTCCGTACTTGTCTCCTCCCTTGCGACAGCTCGCACGCCACCAGTCCAGCCACACATCTCCACCACAGCGCTGCTGTCGCCCCTTGCCGGTTCCATTACCTACTACCACCACTGACACCGTTGGGTAGTAGGCAGGTATCTCTGAGTCCCTCTATTTCCGAATTGCCCTTTAGTCTATTGCATTCTTAGTTATCAATTTTTGGGCTCCATTGAAGGTTTTGTGATTCATTTGCTCCGTGAGACATTCCAGTAGCCGATGTGAGCTTCTGCAGTGCTGTTAAGCTGAATTGTTGATTTCTTGAATTGGGGACATTTGTTGATTTATTCGAACACTAGCACTGTATCTAGTCCTGTTGAGTAGAATTGATGCATTATTTGGGGGTGACTTGGGGAGTTACTTGTCAATTGATTTCCGTTTTAATTTCTGCTATTCTCCGGTACTGATTGGTGTGTTTGAAATTGTCAAATGATTTCGGCTAGCCATTTGATTTAATTTTTTTTCTCTGTGCATTCACCAGTGGTACTGTGATGGTAGTTGTTTAACATTTGTTAATCCTTGTGCATTTTGTTAATTGCGTTGACCGTTTGAGTTATTTCATTATCTGTGGAGTACACCAGTGGTACTGGTTAGGGTATTTTGCCTAGCATTTGTTATTTCTAATTGGTTGGCTGCCTGATTGAAAAGAGAAAACTTGTAATTGTGTGGTTATTCTCCAACTTCTCTACTGCTATTACTGGAATTGCTGCTTTTGAGTTGAGAAATTAACTGTCTAATTGGAGGCTTTGTTGAGATTTTGGGTGGACAGAGTTTTGCATTTGCTGGTTGAATTGAGTTGAGATGTCTCAGACCTTGGCCGCGTACTTCTATCACATCAGTTTCCGTGCACCATTCCCGCCTACCCTTTCGCCACTCGTGAGGGAAGTTTCGTTGCCCTCTTCGTTTTAATTGCTTTAATCCCTCCATTGAGGACAATGTAGGATCTAGGTGTGGGGGGGACAGCTATACTAATTCTTTATTTTTAGTTTGTTATTTGTCCACCTCTCGTTCATTTTTTTTTTCTTTCTAGTGATTGGCTCGTAAGTGCATGCCAAGGTTTGATGTTGGATTATTGCCTCTATTTCTACTTTTGCCAAGTTTTAATAATAAAAGGGTATCAAGTTAATGTGGTTGAATCCAAAAACATCTCTTTGGTGAATATCGATGATTGTTTTACTCTTATAATTTTTGGTTAACTCTCCTAGGCATAGGGAATGACTGTTGGCATTTTCATGTGAATTGGTCCGGTCATTAACCTTAGTTCTTCATATTTAAAAATGAGGCTAGCAGCTGCAAAGTTCCTTTTGATTTTTGTGTTATTTTGAATTTTTGGCATTATTTGGCTGTGAATAAGGGTTGACTGTGCTCCGCTAGTATTTACTACCGAATAACCGGGGATCTTCACCAAAAGTGTTGATTCTCGCGTCAAAAAGTAGTAATTGCTATGAGTGCGTGGTCACGTGGCAATAGAAGCTGAGTAACCGGGCTCTTTCATCTAACAAATGTCAGAGTTCGCGTCAAAAGGATCTAATGGCTAGCGACTAAGTCTTTTGTGACTATTGAGAAAAGAAAAAAAAAAAGAGAAAGAGAAGAAAAAAAAAAGAAAAAGAAAGAAAAAAAGAGAAGAGTAGAAAAATGTGAAAAAAAAGTGAATGTTGTGTTAGTGTATAATAAAAGTCAGCTTGCCGATTTATGGATTTAATGTTGAGATTTTGGTTAATAGTTGGACCATTTGCTGATAAATGTTATGCGTCATTTCTTTTTCTTAGATTAGTTAATCTGAAATTAGAGGTGTCTATGGTTTAGAAGCTAACCGAAGTGATGTTTCTTGGATTTTGATCGCTGATGCTTGATATATATTTTTCTTGGTATCTTGGCAATTTGGTAGATAGAACAATAGCCATTGTCGAATATTGGTGTTTGTTTACTGTTCTTATGCTTAAGGACAAGCATGATTTAGGTGTGGGGGGAATTACGACTCCAAAGTGTACGTTGTCACAAGCTATTAATAAGTTGCTTTTTACTTCAACTGGTGTCCCTTACAATTTGACCTTAATTTTGGGGTCCTTTTCGACTTGCATTCACTAGAGGCACTGATCCTTTGACAGACAAAATTTCTGGTCGGTTTGTAATGCAAATTCCACAATCAATTGAATTTTCAAAGTCTCCATTCAATAATTGAATTTCTGAATTTCACTAAACCTGTTTAGAAAAAGTAAACACTAGGGTGAGAAAGGAAAAACAAATTGTAGGCTCGACTTGAACTCTACTGACTTGGTTTTTGTCTCAATAGAGAAAGGAGAAACATTTTTTTTTTCCTTTTTTGCTTACTGGCACAGGCCTTTTTTCATGTTTCATTAACTTCACAAATAGAGGTGTCAAAATGGGTGATTTGGACGGGTTTGGGTTAGATAAAATGGGTAATGGGTATAAGTGAGTTAACCTATTTATACCCATTTAATTAGATGGGTATAAATGGGTAAGTCAAAAAATGAATTGGGTAATTCAATTACCCATTTATAACCCATTTAGTTTTAACTTTTTGTAAATTCATTTATATTCATTTTTACAAACTAAGTTATCAATTTATACCATCCTTTGACCCCATCATTAGTTTTAAATATTTATTTATAATACTCAATAAATCTAATTATTAATTTTTCCCATCTGTACTCTATGTCGCAAAATTACAAACTATTTAATAATTAAACAATAGGAATATAAAAATTTGAACTAAGTACTATAAAAGTTAAAATAAAAACTTAATCCAAAAATTTTGAACATCTAGCATTTTTTCGTGTGTAAATTTAAAATTTCATTTTGGAAAAGTAAAAAAAGAGACTAAAACTTGTCATAAATTGGTAATGTTGAAAAATGAGCAAGTTAACAAACTAAAAGAAAATAAAATGATAAGATAAAACCAACAAATAATGATAATAATGAAACAAAAGTAGTTAATATCATGGCAAAGTGAAAATTTTGAAAAAAAAAATGGGTGGAGGAAGAGAGGAGGTTTGAGGGAAGACAATTCTAAATGGGTTAATTGAATTTGATGGGTTACCCAATAATACCTATTTAATAAAGGGTATTATTGGGTAACCCATTTATACCCATATGAAAAAATTTAAGACACCCATACTCATCTATTCATGGGCGGGTATGGATAAATTTAGTTAAATGGGTTTGTTTGACAGCTATATTCACAAACAATTAATCTTCATTTAACAAACACAAAATTACAGTATAGATGACATTAGAAATTGTATCTAAGTATTTAATTAGATGGGTGGATCGGATATCGAAAATAAGAGCTTTATAAATTTTGTTGGCAAAAATTTTAAAAATTTTTCTAAAACGTTAAATGTTTATATACTTTATGCTTGCAAATAATTAAAAAAAAAAATCAATCCATAGGTTGTATATTTCATCATAAATTTGTATGCTTGTACTTTGTAGCCTTGTAGGTTTATCACTTGTGCGTGATTATCCGCTTCTGAAACTATAATAGAGAATTAGCTAAGATAGACCAAGAAAAAAGATGATTTATCAGAAATTTTGAAATTTCTAGAGGATCACCATCAATAATGCATCTACAGAAACCTACTAGAGAGTCCACAAACATAATACAGAGAAAAGATGAAAAGAAGACGTGTAATATGTCATGAAGATTTGAAGGTCGAATATTATGAATTCCACTCCAAATTTGATTGAATATTGAAATAATACTCCTTAATGACTGATAAGCTTTTCTTGATCTTAATAGTTATATTCATGTCAACCTACAGGCACGGTTGGACTTTGTACTCATCAACTTATTAAATTGAGAAAATTGTTTAAAATATCTTTCACATTTTGTCAAATGAATTTTTGGTTCTTCACTTTTAAAATGCTAATTTTACGTCCTTTACAAATTCAAATCAACAAAATTTGATCCCAACTTAAGTTTTCAACCATTTTTTAAGTCTGAAATCAGCATGTGATCTAATGCAGTCATTTTTTATTTGCAAAAAAAAAAAAGAGTCAGATATCACTTTTTTTAATGGCAGAAATGAATATAAATTAGCCTAGATCTAGCTTTCTTAGAAGAAAAATAAATATAGTTCGGATTAAATTCATGAAGATTTGGAGGTCGAATATTATGAATTCCACTCCGAATTTGATTGAATATTGAAATGCTATTACTCCTTAATGAATGATAAGCTTTTTCTTGATCTTGCCAGTTGTATTCATATCAACGTCTAGGTACGGTTGGAAGTTGTACTTAACCACTTACCAAATTTTAGTCTCTAACTTTTTGGGAGACTTGACTGACTTCCTGTTTAGTCTCATTCAAAGTAAACTGCAATTATACAGTAATGCTGAATTCATAATATGTTGAATAGAACCGAAATTATCAGTTGAATTTATCATGACAACATTGTTTCATCCTCAAATGCATGAAATAGTGATAATCCAATAACTATAATAAGCCATTAAAAATAAATGAGAAGACCTTTGAATTCTTGCCAAGTGAAGGGCAGAGCAATAATTACCTGTTTCACCAGTATTTATAACCAATATCTGCACCTCTTGTTGAACCAAGAAAAGAAACCATGGATTACTTGAACATAAGAAAGTCTTTCTTTGCATTCCTATTGGTCCTGTTTGTTTCATCATATTCTGCTAAAGCTAATGCATCAACTTCTGATGAAGAGGCTGCTGCTCTTTTGAAATGGAAAGCAAGTTCTGGAAACGAGAACAATAGCTTCCTGACTTCATGGAATCTTCAGCCTACGAATGCCAAAAATTCTTCAAATCCTTGCACATGGGCTGGTGTTTCATGCATTGATGGAAGTGTAAACAGGTTGAAACTCACAAATTCAAGTGTCAAAGGTACACTCGAAGACTTTCCGTTTTCATCCCTCCCAAATCTTGAATATTTGGATCTCAGCTTGAATGAAATTTCTGGCAGCATACCTCCTGTGATCGGTAATCTCTCGAAGCTCATTCATCTTAATTTGTCTTCAAATTTGTTGTCCAAAAAAATCCCACCTGAAATCGGCCTGTTATCAAAACTTGAAACCCTCCTCCTAAGTTTAAACAACTTTTGTGGCTCAATTCCAATGGAAGTAGGCCAATTAAGGTCACTTATGCAGCTTTCTTTGCATGCAAACAACATCCATGGTCCTGTTCCCAGTTCCCTTGGCAATATGAAAAACTTGACTTTTCTCTGTCTCGGCTACAATATGCTTTCAGGTCCGATTCCCACAGAAATAGGAAATCTGACAGGTGCCGAACCTGTACAATAATAAATATCTACTCGAGAAAAATACAGATTTTGTATATAGCGGTGAGTAGGGTCGAATCCACAGGGACTGGGGATAATTCGTTTTTTCTAGAGTCCAAAGTATGGGGGGTTTTTGGATTAAATACTAACTAAATAAATTAACTGCAGGAAATAATTGATTAAGAGAAATAATTAAGGGAAAACTCTAGCCAAGGGTACACTTCAGAAATGGTTCAGGCACTGATCATTGATGCAGAAATAATTCCAACATTTAGTAATAGATTGGTTATAGTTGTCATGCACGCGATAAACAACCAACCCTTCCTTAATTTCTCGATAGCTAAGGTACGACCGTTAGCTATTTCTCTAACCCAAAAATAACCCTAGGTACGACCGTAGGATTTAATTTCTAGATTGCATTAATAATTAGAAAGGCCCAATCCTAACCAACAAACACGCTACGAGGTTTTGTTTAAACTAGATCATATGCTCCCCTGACATAAACCCAATTACGCCAGTTGCTACTAAGATAGAGATAACGAACAATTACAGATTCAATTACCTCTATTTAGCAAAATAGCCTATATGAATAATTAATTATTGCGCACTAATCAATCATACACAAGGTCATAGCAATTAAAATCAAGGAACATATAAATATCAATAAATGAAGAAAATAATTAAAACAGATTCGATCTCACAGTAATTGTCGAACCAAATCGTCAGTTGTCCCCTTGACTAGAAAAACTTAACCACGCCTCATGAGAAAATCTCCCCGTTAGGGAATATTGTCGAATACCTGGCGTGTGTCAGAGGCCAGTCCAAAGAAAGAAAACTAGAACTCAACTAAAAAACCAAAACTAAAGCCCTAGATATCTTTTGCTTCTGTACGTTGTCCCCTTTTAAAGCAACAAAAGAAAGATGACTAAAAGCTATCTAGGTGGTCCCCACACATGTGGACAAAGCCTCCCAAGTACTTCTTGTTCCAAGTCTCTCTACGTTGCTTTCTTTGAAGCCCAAATGACCAAATGCCTTTCACTAGCTTGTGGTCCCCCCACCAATTCAAGGGCCCAAGGATTGAAGCCCTTAGAAGTCTCCATATTTTTCACAAAGTCCCTCCTTTTTGGTAGTTTTCTGCTTCATTCCTGAAATTGATTCCAAATACCAAATATGAGTAAATATCAGCAATTAACACAATATTTGTCAGGGATAGAAGGGAAAATTAATAATAAAAATACTAACAAATTATACTCTATCAAAATCTTTCCAATCTAGCTTACATTAATATGCAAAGCAACTATTTAACAGGTCCTATTCCCCCAGAGATAGGGAATTTGAAAGCACTTGAAAGTCTGAGCTTGTCTGAAAATAATCTCACAGGTTCAATCCCAAAATCACTAGGTAGCACAACCAACTTGGCTCTTCTTTCCCTGGACAGAAACCAATTTTCTGGTTCAATTCCTGCTTCCTTAGGCAATTTGAGTAAACTGGAAATTCTGGAACTCCACGATAACAAACTTTCTGATGCCATTCCGGAAGAGTTGGGACAAATACCAGAGTTGGTTATGTTGGAGATGAGGGAAAATCAGCTCTCTGGTCAGCTACCCAAACAACTTTGTCAAAATAGCAAATTTATGTACTTCAGTGTGAGCAACAACTTGCTTACTGGTCCAATCCCAAGATGCCTGAGAAACTGCTTAAGCTTAATTAGGGCCACTTTTAGTGGGAACCAGCTAACTGGTAACCTGAGAGATGTTTGATATACTTCCAGGCTTGAATATGATGGACCTTAGCAATAACCATTTCTACGGGGAGCTCTCAGGATATTTGTTGAGATCTGCAAATCTGAGAATTTTGCGGATGGCAAACAATAACATCTCAGGTTTTATACCTTCAGGATTGGGGAACTTATCTCAATTAAATGAACTTGATCTTTCTTCAAATCAATTAACTGGTGAAATTCCAAAGGAAATTGGGAAAGTAGCTTCTATTATATATCTGCGTCTGCAAGACAATCAATTTTATGGAAGCATACCTCTAGAAATAGGAATCCTAACAAATCTGCTTTATCTCGATGTGTCCTCAAACACCTTGACTGGATCCATTCCAGGATACTTGGGAGATTGCCAGCAACTTTCTTATTTAAACTTGAGCAACAACAATTTAAGCCAAAAGATTCCAGTTCAAATAGTTAGGTTAGATCACTTATCCCTTTTGGATTTAAGTAATAATTTGTTATCAGGAGAGATACCTTCTGAACTAAGCAGTTTGGAGAACCTCGAAGTGTTGGATCTCTCACACAATAACCTCTCTGGCTCTATTCCTAGGGGCTTGGGAAAATTGCCTGACTCAGTTCATATTGACCTATCCTTTAATAACTTAGAGGGTCCAGTTCCAAATGGAACGGCTTTCAGGAATGCCACCATAGAAGAGTTAAAGGGAAACAAAGGCCTGTGTGGCAACAATGCAGGGCTAAAACCTTGTGAAAATCCTCAAAGGAAGGAGAAGGGGCACAAACGTGTTCTCATAATTGTACTCCCTCTTGTGGGATCTCTCATACTAGTTTGTGCATCTTTGGGAGTTCTTATCTGTTGTGAAAGAAGAAAAAGTAAAAGAACAACCAATGGACATGGCATGGATGTAAAGGATGACAATCTGTTTTCTATATCCACATTTGATGGAGAAGCAATGTACAGAGAAATCTTAAAAGCAACACAAGAATTCAGTGACTTGTTTTACATTGGAGGAGGAGGTTATGGAAGTGTTTACAAGGCACAACTTTTGTCTGGTGCCACACTGGCTGTAAAGAGACTTCATGACTTGTCCGAAATGGCAGATCATGGAGGTTTCTTGAATGAGATAAGAGCTTTGACAAGAATCAAACATCAAAATATTGTCAACCTTTATGGTTTCTGCTCAAATGCTACACATTCTCTTTTGGTTTATGAGTACCTCGGACAAGGTAGCTTGGCCAAAATTTTGAGAATAGATAAAGAAGCCACGGAGCTGGATTGGGAAAAGAGGGTGAATATCATTAGGGGTGTTGCTGATGCTTTATCTTATATGCATCATGATTGTTCACAACCAATAGTTCATCGGGATATTTCCAGCTACAATGTCTTGCTTGATTCAGAATATCAGCCTCGTATTTCTGACTTTGGCACTGCAAAGCTTCTCAAGAAGGGCTCGTCTAATTGGAGTGCTCTTCCAGGTAGATGTGGATCTATTGCACCAGGTATTAACTTTGCAATTTTTGTTGGTGGGCTCTATTTTGGTATAGCTTGTTCGTTAGAGCATAAGCACCAGCAATCCTGACATGATTTTTGCTGCAGAACTTTCATACACGATGAAGGCAACAGAGAAGTGTGATGTTTATAGCTTTGGCATCCTGACATTAGAAATAATCAGAGGGAGGCACCCTGGGGACCTAATAGATGTATTGATGTCTCAAAAACAGGGAAACATAGAACTGAAGGAGTTGCTGGATCAGAGACTTGCATATCCCTCACCAGAAAATGAAAAGATTTTGGTATCTATCCTCAAAATAGCAAGATCATGTTTAGAGGTTGATCCAAAATCTAGGCCAACAATGCTTGTCATTTATAGGTTGTTATCAATCGGAGCACCAGTTGTGCAGCATCCTGGTGAGTAACAATGGAAGTTTGGAAGTATTTCTGTTACATTATTTAGCTGACAAGTAGAATAATTCAGTCAATGTTCTTTTTAATTTGGTTATGCATTTTGCTTGATTTGCTATGAAAATCTCTTATTTCTTTCCTTTCCATGGTAGGGCAAACAGCAGTGTGGATTGGAGATGAGACAATGGATGTCTAGAAGATCTTGAGGCATTACTGCATGAAAATCAAATTCCAACATTGTTAGACAAAGTTTTAATGGGCATGTGAAGATAGTTACTTGGAATAATCTATTGTCTTGAGTTTCATTGGCAAATTTATCTGGTTTTGAAACCAGAGGATTCCCTTTGATTGTTTAGATGTTTGCTGTAATTTAATTTTTTTTATTTAAATGATTGATTTTACCATGGAGATATAAATAAAAATTTGAAGTTGAGAAAAGGAGGTTGTGAATTTGGAGATAGAAAAGTTGCATATAAGTTATTTCATTACAAAAAATATATATATTCAACTTTTTATATCTTTTTGTTTTGAAAGAAAAATTCAATCTTTTTGGTCGATTAAGAAATTAATACAAACTTAGCAAAAAAAAATTTTTTTTTTTGGTCGATTCCACTGGAGTATGTACCAAGAAATTTAGAGGACAAATGTACTCGGGAAATTGAACACGATTTTCATGTATTATATATTACTTTGCTATATGGCTACGCACTATTATAAGGAAGTAATCCTTTATGGAAAGAGTGACACAATGAATAAAAATAGAATACCAAACATATTTAAGGGGCAGAAAGAACTCAAATCTTTTTGAAGAAATAGTCAAAATCTCCAATTTCTTCCTTTCTGATAGGCTTGAGAGTAGAGCAGATGGGAAATTTACTTACTAGTGAACTCTTCTGTATTTTTTTGATTTGATGTATTCACCTCCAAATATATATTCTCCCATACAATCCATTATCGGTGTATATTTCCCACTCAGCAGGAAAAAAATAGAAAATATATCAAAAGATATGTAGGACAAATTACAAGTTTTTTTGTCAATTTAATTCATCATATCAATTACCAAAGAGAGGATATCATGGTGGGCAAGAAATCTAAGGCAGTTTCAAGGGCAGCTCCTACATCTGATTCATTAGCCAAACATATTGTTATTACCATGAGACGCATTGTTGTGGGTTGGAGGAAAGTGCAAAGGATTCGAGCTAACAGGGAATTTAGATTAGAATAGAATTTTGATTAGCTGATGTATTTAATTTTAGTGATAATTTTAGAAACCTCCTCTAAGATTTTTGACACTTTCACTAATCTCCGCTAAGGTTTTAAAAATTACACTGATCTTCCTTGTAAAAAACTTTGGCCTATTGCTTGCATGAGTTGTAGTGAAAGTACTACTTTGCCCTAAAACATATGCTTTATTACAAATAGATATTTGACAAAAAAAGAAGGTTAGAACACTAAATAAATGAGATTAACTAATTAAACCAGAATAATGGTTGTTTCATCTCAAATTAGCAATCATAATTACAATAAAAAAATGGTGTCAATTACTACCCTAAGATGGCGCCATTTTTGTGATTGACATTACTTGACAAGGATAAGGACAGTCAACCTTATATAATCTGCATAGAAGGATTTTATGAGCAAGAAAAACAGAAGGAATTTTTGATTGGTTGTTTTGTTGAATTTTGTGTCAAAACAAAATTAATTCATGTTTTTATTGCTGATTTGTTGACTAAACCCATATTTTTCCTGTATCAATACTTTACTTTCATCTTGCCAACTACAATAAAAAGGTTAATTTTTCTACCCCAAATTTAGATGCTTATATTGATAATTTGATAGCTTTAGAGAATTAGTTGCATCCTTTATACGTAGTTGTAATGGCTAGAAAATATGGGCGTTGTAGTTTGTGCTAACTGTTGCAAAGATCATTATCGCTTCACGTTGTTGCTACTGCATCTCTATGAATTTCACTTATACCTCCTAAATTTATATCATGCAAGGCGTACTAATTTTTGGAAACTACTTCGTATTTTGAGCTGTAATAAGCTACCCCTATCTTCAGAATTTGTATTTTTCGGGCAAAATGTCTTAGTGGTCCTCAAACTATTACACAATTTAACTTTTGGTCCTCCAACTATTAATTTATAAGTATTAGCTCTTCAAGTAATTAAAACATATAATTCTAGTTCTTTTATCGACTTGAGTTGTTATGTCTAATAGAAATAGCCCAATGTACATCCCAGTGGCCCTTAAACTATTACAAATTTTAACTTTTGACCGTCTAACTATTAATTGATAAGTTTAATCTTTCAATTAATTAAAATGTATAATTCTAATTCTTCCGTCAATTTGAGACGTTAGGTCAAATAAAAAATTACCATGTGCTCGCTAGGGGCCACTAAAATATTCAATTTATTCACTTACGTCACATACTTCTTTTTGTGCTTTGAAAACTTTATGTTATGTAGAAGTGTTCAAGAACTCTTTTGCAGAAGTATGCTTGGCCCCTTAGAATGCTCATTAGGCACTAGTGATTTTCTAAATATTAAATTCCTGTCCTATATTATTTAATTTGTACGCTGCAAGATTAAACTATATCTTGGAAAACCGTTAATATCTGAGTAAACTATATTTATTGTGTCAATTCGTGAATAAACAGGTGATGATCCATGATTGGGTTCAAAGTTTCTAACAAGATTCAGGAACACGATAACTAAATACAATATTGACACTATACTGGCAATCGCCACAAACCCCCCTTTATTTTTTATTTTCTTTGGGGGCAATGGCCACGGACCCTAGAGACATTGACCGTTGACTATCAAAACTTGTGTTCAGATTGTGATGTGAACGCCGCATGGCTGCTAACCATTTTCATTATTCAATAACTGGAGTTCTGAAATCGATAAAACGTGGTTTGAACACGAAAACACAAAGGTGAGAAAGGAAAACAAATTGTAGGCTTGAAGTAAAGTCATTTGCTTTCGTTTCAATACTGAAGAAGAAATGGACTACCTTTTATTTGTACTAAAATTGGCATAATACCAAGAGAATAGACGGGAGAGGATCTGACTCAACCCCCAAGCCCCGAGGAAAAAGAGAAGCGAAATTTAATCATAATTCGGGTGAAATGGTTTTTCACTGCAAATTTGGCATTGCATTGAGAATAAACCGTGAATATATGTTATTTTTAATTTGAATAAGCAAACGACGCACACGGATTCTTCTTTAATTCCAAACAGGCGTCTGTAGACGATGATCACGCATTGTTGTGGGCTGGAGGAAAGTGCAAAGGACTCGAACTAATAGGGAATTTAGATTAGAATAGAATTTTGATTGGCTGATGTATTTAATTTTAGCGATAATTTTAGAAACCTCCTCTAATATGTCTGACACTTTTACTAACCTCCACTGAAGTTTTAAAAATTACATTGATCTCCCCTATAAAAAATTTGGGCCCATTGCTTATTTGAGTTGTTGTGAAAGTACTACTTTGCCCTAAGACATTATGTTTTTATTACAAATAGATATTTGACAAAAAAGAAGTTTAGAGCACTAAATAAATGAGATTAACTAATTAAACCAGAATAATGGTTGTTTCATCTCAAATTAGCAATCATAATTACAATAAAAAAAATGGTGTCAATTACTATCCTAAGATGGTGCCATTTTTGTGATTGAAATTAATTGACAAGGATAAGGATAGTCAACCTTATATAATCTATATAGAAGGATTTTATGAGCAAGGGAAATAGAAGGAATTTTTGACTAGCTTGTTTTGTTGAATTTTGTGTCAAGACAAAATTAATTCATGTTTTTGTTGCTGATTTGTGGACTAAACCCATATTTTTCTTGCATCAATACTTTACTTTCATCTTGCCAACTACAATAAAAAGATTAACTTTTTTTACCCCAAATTTAGATGCTTATGCTGATAATTTGATAGCTTTATAGAACTAGTTGTGTCCTTTATATGTAGTTGTAATGGATAGAAAATATGGCCGTTGCAATTTGTGCTATCTGTTGCAAAGATCATTATCGCTTTAGGTTGTTGCTGCTGCATCTTTTTGAACTTCACTTATACCTCCTGAGTTGTATTAATTATTTCATTCTTTACAAATGCAACTTGAGGACAATTAGAAAAGGGTATATGTGGAACAAAATTATCAACTCATTCCTCAAAATACCTTTATAATAGTACTTTGTCTGAATTGAATTGATTCCGTTACTCAAACCTTAAGTCCAAAGGAAGTTAGTGTAATTTTTAAAATATTAGAGGAGGTCAGTGAAGGTGTTAGAAACTTCGGGGGAGGTTTCTGAAATTATCCCTTAATTTTATTTTTATTTTTATTTTTATCATTTATTTATTTTTAATATTAGCTAGACTCCTTTCATGCTTTATCTAATAACAGGTAATTTTCGCCTAACCAAAGGATATCATGATTCATGCAAGGCTTAGATTTTTTTTTTAATTAAAAAAGTATCTCTTCATGCTTATTGTTCTTTAAAAAATTATATCATGCAAGGCGTACTGATTTTTGGAAACAACTTCGTATTTTGAGTTGTAATAAGCTACCCCAATCTTCAAACTTTTTATTTTTTGGGCAAAATGTCCTCAAACTATTATAAAATTTAACTTTTAGTCCTCCAACTATTAATTTATAAGTATTAGCTCTCCAATTAATTAAAAGGATGACAATAAAAAAGCCCCCTGTGGTTTAGCTATCATACAGAAAAGCCACCTGTGGTTTCATATCATACGCATCGGTACCCCATGGTTTGAATTATTCTGAAAAGTAGACAGAAATCATTAAAACAAACGGAGCTGAGTGAAAAGACAAAAATACCCTTTTGAAATAAGCAAAAATTGCAGAAATAATTTTGCACTTTCATTCTGTCGAAACCAACGAAGAGAGAGAGAAAGAAATAGAAAACCCTAGATAGAGATAGAGAAGCCCCTTTTCTAGCCAATTTTCAATTGTTATTTCAATCAAATATCAAGATCAACGGAAAATACGAGGAAGTGAAGATTTGCGGTGAAAAATCGAAGAAAAATGGGTTAGTATATCATCTCTCATCTATTTCGATTCGGGTTTTGGGGTATGTTGTGGAAGGAAAATTGTCATTTACTGATTTCAGATTTAATTGGGAGGCCATTATTTAACAAAGATAAGTTTTTCGATGTATTTACGTATGTTGTTAATGAAGATGAAGGTTTTTGATGTATGCCCAGCAAACCTAGCTGCCTAGATAGATAGCTTAAGCGTCCCTTTCAAATTGCTAAAGTTTTGATAATTATTGAAAGCTTAAAAA